GCTAAGCCTGACTGAGATGTTACAGTAACATGGGAACAATTAGTCTCAGCACGTGCACATAAACACAGTGTGTATTCACTTAAAGCAGTTTTTTAAACGACATCCTGTCCATGCAATGCCCTGATTAAGGAGGACCGTGTGTGTGCAATAAAATTCAGAACTTCATTAAAAATTATCTCAGGACATTAACCAGAAGAGGAAGGCAGTTTATGTCTTCATAAAGTGGATAATATACAAGTTAAGCAGCTTGGTTCCTCTAGGCTTTTCTCTTTTTATTGCTCATGAATGGTTTTATCAGTGCACAAAAAGAACAAATGAGGATTATTTTGAGAATAACAAGGGGGTTTAGCAATCTATACAGTGGAAGTGAAGCTAAGGTGTAACAGAGTTTAGATATCATGACTTCAGCATCACTAATTCCTACACACACAGACAATCTTCCCTCGTGATTCTGTTACTTTTGAAAATAAAAACTATGATATAAAACAATGGCCCATCCTGTTTTTCTGTCTGCTCACCAAGACAAACATCCCATGCTACGGCTGCCAACATTAACATGAAAAACACACTGATCTGGTCCCTATTCAACATGAGAGCTAAGAGCTGCACAGTTGTATGTCATCAGTGCTGAGTCTGACCAAACAGAACAAAGAAGCCAGAACGACACACCCAGCTGTTTACTTTAGTGAGTTATAGGGATAAATCTTCTTCCATTTACTTGAAAATAAAATTTTAAGATACTAAGATACTACAAACAACGCATCGGTGACATTAGCAGAGTGTATGACTTAGTCTTTTATTGTGCCAAGAACAAATCAAGCATGAGGCACGGTTGTGCTTTAAATTAAAACGATGATGAAATTTGTTTTATAAACATTTAAAGTCATTGTAATTACCCGATAATGTATGTATTATTAGTTGATTTAAAGGATTGGGTCCTGATAGATAGATAGAATTTTTTTTAATTTATTACTTTACTACTTTTTCACATCACTGTAGATAGATAGGTCGATCGATTAAAATAAGTAAATAAGACAATAACCATAGATAACTATAATAACTATAAATAAACTTATTGTACGAGTCACTTATTTATTTATCCATTGTGATATATTTTACTGTAGAATGTTAAGTAAGAGATTAGGCTTCTGTTTTGTAATTTTGCGCAATGGATTAATAACAATAATAAATATTAATGAAAAGGGGAAATATATATATATATATTTTAATATTTATATATACAAGCAGCAAAATATATCCCAATAATATCCCAATAGCTTGAATTAGACAGTTTGTTTAATAATTACGCCTCATCCTACACTTTACCGGTGCCATGTTTTCAGAAACGCGGTATCTTCAAACAAACAGCAATACATACGCTTCGTCTACGTCACCGCTTTAGATGATTGACAGTAAACCGCAGCGAATCCGGTGTCTGTCCGTGTTTTGCATGAGCCAATGAGCATCCGGGAGTCATTATTTGCGGAAGTTATTAAACTGCTAGCAACACTGTGGGTTTGAGCTACATCTTTAGGATAAATTGTCACGATGTCCGCTGTTAAAATTCACAGGAGACCTTTTAGGTGATGTTTGTAGTAGAAATGGGTCCACTTCATGTTGAGAAGTGTCCTAAAATGGCTTTGCTTTAATC